GAGAGAGAGAGAGATTTCTAAAAATCTATACTACTTTCTCAGGTGTCGCGAATTCGTACAACATTTTAAAGAGTAATAAATGAATGTTTCGAAAGAGAAAAGAAATTAAAATCTTCATTTTTCGTTAATTAATTTATTCGTTAATTAATTTATCCAATATTTTAATTAATTTTATTTAAACATGTCAATAGCGACAATTTCCTTTATCTTTAATTGTCTAATTAGATTTTAATCTAATTTGCAAAATTTTAGTTACCATTTTGTTAATTTTGATGAAAATTATGATTGCATAAATACATGTACTTTTGCTCAGCGAATCACATTTATGCTATGTTAGATAATAAAGTAAAAGAAAGAGAGAAAGGAAGAAGGAAAAAAAATTAATAAAAAAACAAATTAAAATTTTATTTGAGAAGTTATACTATACAATTCAATATATCTTGAAAGTCGAATATGATATTTTTTCTCATTTATTTTTTTTTCCATACGATTATTTCATAATCATCCGAAAAGCTTATATTTAGTTCTTCATTTACATAGAATTTCTATACGCGTCATTTTTAAAATGAATTTAATTTTGACATTTAATAAAAGTTAAGAACTAATGCATACCGTAAAGTCTCTATAAAATGAGCCCATAGCATTCGAAACTCAGTTTAAAAAAGTTCAGCGGAGAAATTTCTTGACTTTTAGTGACCGTTAATGGGGAACTTCCTTTCTTGTTCGAACAGTGTTGGTAATGAAACTCTACAATTCTTTGCGCCCGATAATTCTTTCCGTTCAGAAATCAAGTGTCAATAAAAGAAATTGAATATTTATATTATACGTTTTTAGATGTCATTATATTAGTTAATAATATTATATTAGTTAATCAAAATTTTTTTGTAAGAAAATATTCGAAAGTATGATTTTTTTTTAATTTCTCTTTTTAGATTTATTTATTTTTTTTTCCTTTTAAATTTAATTTCTATTTAATTGAAGAAATAAAGATAATTTTTCAGGATTATTTTAATTTATATTCACTTTAATAATAATAATAATAATAATAATAATAATAATAATAATAATAATAATTTTATGAAACTGCATAATGTTAATTAATTATTGTCGTATGTAGATGCCATTAAGTTAATTAAAATAAATATTGTATTGAAACCGAAAGACTCGTCGATGAATTATGTTACTATTCATTATATTGGTTAAAGATTTTTATGTAATATTTGATATCATTATTGGATTTCATGGAGGTCGAAAAAATTCATTCAGCGTCAATATTCGAAGAAGTCTGCCAATGATAACCACAAATTAAAATAAAAGATTTTCAGCGAATTATTACGAAGCATGTTGTTGCTCAGATAAGGTTTCTAAATTTATCCAACTGTTTTTAGTTATCATGCTAATATGTATATTGATAGCAATTGAAGACACATGTTGTGCTTAATAAGATCGATAATAACGTAAGATAACGATTGCAATATGTCATGATTTTGCTTAATCATGGAAAACCATGAAAGGCGTAATAATGTTGATAATATTCTGTGACTAGAATAATATTATAATGTTATTAAAATAATATATCTAGCTATGAAATACAGCTGTTGTGTGCAGTGTATATTAAAATATTAAAATATCCTTGTTTATAATGAAATAGAGGAGTAGATGAAAAGAGAACATAAATTATTTAGATAAAAGCTGTTTTAGTAGCTATATTTTATAAATATATCTATTATATAAATTAAAAACCAGTTGAAAGTAGTTAGTAGAATATTATAAATAATATGGAAAAATGTGAGAAAAATAATTTAATGTATTATCTGTTGAATCGCTTTAAATATAGCATTCATAGAAAATGTACTAGAAAACTGAATTACCGACGTGAAATTATTCAAACTGTTTCAAGAGCAGAGTTAATTTTAATTCAGTCCAATTTGCAAAAGTAATATATAGAAATTATGTGATATATATATATATATAAATTATACAACGAACAGCACAAATTCAACGCGTCGTGTAAATGATGTTATTCGCAATGAAAAAATATTTTTTATTACGTTATTTATTTCTGATTATTATTTTATTCGTCCATCTTAATAAAGTGATTAAAAAAAACATCAAAAATAATTTTTACTTAATTTTTTTAGTAGCAAATAAATTTTTCTCGTTTTCTTTCCATCGTGCGTTCTGTATGAGATTTCTTTCCCTTTATATGATTCATATCAGCGTCTGTGAGAAGTCGAAAAGAAAATTTATACGGTCGGCATAATGCCGAAATCTGTGAAAATTACTGTGGAAATAAATTTGATGCCTAGTACGGCACGCTACAACGAGTTTCAGCAGGTATGAAATTGTGCCTTTGTGCATATCTCCCTTTACGTTAGAAAGTCTTTCTGATCCAAGTATGTCTCGAAGTATTTCATACTTAATATTTGAGTATTTGAGCTTCGATAATAATTAGATTGTTTCAATCTTGTTCATCCTTTTGGGAATTTACTTATGTTTACAAGCGAATTCACGAAGAAATAAGGCAAATGCATGCGTAGAAAACACATTTATAAAGATATATTTTTATGATGATAAACTGCACGATTACAATGGTCGAAATTTATGAAAATTATCAAGTTATATCAAATGAAACTTGCTCAAGTAACATTATGCAATATTTCCGATAGATGAGGATTAAATATTAATAACAGGAAGATTGATCGGACTTCTCGAATCACTTTTAGCATTATTCTTCTAACATTTTGATAATAATAGAATAATAAATTGATAGAATAATAAATCGATGGTAAGAGAATTAAATTAAAAGAATTAATATTAAAAGAAAGTAGCACACACATACACATTTCAGTTATACGATGAATAAATATCATGTTTCTATATGCTTTTCATTACTGTGCTTTTGGAAATAGGATGATATCCGAAAGAAGTATCGATAGAAGGATACGCTCGACATATATTCGAAGAAGTTAGAAATGACTTGGCGACTATCGGAGAGGCAATTGATTGAGGAAGAAATAACCCAACTCAACGTTCGAAATCGCATAAATAAAAGGGACGCCGGAGGGCGCTCGCGGAAAAGCTTGTTAGAGCTTGTGTTCGGAACTCTTTAATCCCACCGCTATTCGCCCCGCGGGGAATGCGCCGACCTTAATTACTAGTTTATTCATTAGTGACAGTTTTCGAGTTTCGACATGCGGATATCGTAGTCGCACGTAGATCTCGAAGCGCTCGCGTCGCCGCGAATATCATTACGGTCGCGCCGCCGTTCGAGAGTTTCGAACTCGTTTAAACAAACTTTTTCATTGTCGTTCACACACCACCGACTACGCGACCGAGCGCGGAGAATATTTTTACGTGGATTATAGGTAGCTCGCACACGAAGAGACGCAACTGTCACTCAATATGATTGGAAGCTTGCGCGACTAGCAGCAACTTCTGAAAACGATCGTACGAATTGATTATACTCGGGTCGATATTCGTAGCCAACTTGGCAAAATGATGAATTGAAAATGGATGATAATGTTATTTTGGTAAGGAAAATTGCGAGCCAGAGGATGTCGCAATGTCTTTCGGGATAAGCCCGATCGTCATGTGGAGATTGACGATCGAATTAGAGTTTCGAGAACGAGGGAGGCTCTACGAGCAAGTTCTGGGGGCAGGTTCTCAAGTCTTTTAAGAGTGCATTTCAATTTTTTGCGATCAATTTTTTTATGTCATCAGAAAGGAGGTTAATTAAATTTTTGATCAGTGAAAATTGCCCGGATATTCAAATTAAAAAACATCCGCTCTCGAAATACGAAGAAAGAGAGAAAAAGAGAGAGAGAGAGAGAGTTCTGTTGCTCATTCGCGTGAAACTTATTTGCTTCGAAACTCCGCGCATTGCATTATTGTGGCTACGCAATTGGACTCTATGAAATCCATGAAATCCAGCTTCATCGTGCCGTAGACGCATTATGGAGCGCCATTGACTTCGAAATAGCAGCGGTAAAAATAACGCGGCGTTACTCGAGAACATGCGAGTATTGTACTTTCCGAAAAGACAAAGCGCTTTCAATTTCAATACCGAAAGACATCCATTAGAGCTTGATTATCTTGATCACGGTTTACGAGGGCTATTCGAGTTATTAATAAAAATGTATCTTTACGAAATCTTATATAAATGAAAAATAATTATGAAACTTCCAAGGTCTTCTCTTTGTGAGCTTTTTTAATTTCTTTTCATTCGCAACCGTTCGATTTGATCGATTTGACACTTAAGTGCGTAGTAAAATGCCGCCGTACAGGGGCTAAGGCAAATATTATGAATATATGTTTCGACAATACAATGATCTAGATAATTCGACGCATGACGTATGGGAAGTACTTCTTTAAGTTTCAAAGAGGTTTACCAATGTCGCGGACGTATTACGAGAAGCTTGCCACGAACGATGATTTATGAGTGCAATAACGTGGAAGAGAATGGGCCGAGGTTACAGGAGGTGCATTGTTGAATTCGCTACGTTGATCAAGCTTAAAAGATTACATCGCAGAACGGTCGTATTTCTGCTCCGATTCTAGATCGAATTTATTTTTATCATTTTACGCGCGGAAATTATGTTTTTCCGCGCGTAAAATGAGGTAACTTTAATCTCAAACGTAAACGTTCGATTCGCGCCGATTTCAAAATTCTGCAAAATTTATGTGGGCACTTCATTATGTATTATGTTAAATTATCGTGTATAAAATTTGTGACATGAAATTGGTTGTTCAACAATGTATTAAGAATTTAACAACGTCGCCTCGTTAACTTTTCAATTACAATCGCGCAAATTTCCACAACGTTAATATTCATATCATATTCTTCTTATGCAGTTGGTGCGCAGTTTGTCCGTTTTATTTCGACTCAGGTATGTTAAATACGAAAAAAAATTCTCTACAAGTGTATATATATTTACATGACAAGTGTAAATATGAAGTCGACGATGGTTTGGATAGGACAATTACGGATCGTAAAAATAGTGATTACTCATCATTTATGTAACAGGGTCAGTTTGGACATGATTAGCAAAGCTTCGTTTTACATTCGTTTTGTATGTAAAAATAGTGGTAGGAGCGATGTATAAAACCGAACGCAATGCGTAACAGTGATTCGATCGATATTCTCTCGTAATAACGTAACAGCAATCGCGATGTTACGCATATAAATTATTGTAGTGGAGTAATTTGCTTAACGTACCAATTCGTATCCATATCACTATTTACGTTGCATAAACTAGTTGCTGTAGAAGCAACGCTGGAAATAATGCAACGACGAGAGTAATAAAATGAAAACGATAGAAAAAAAAATGAGACACCATAACAGTTTTGATGACATAATGCCGATAACATAGCTAACGTCTTCTGCGTATATATGTCGCAATAAGGGTGTTAAATATCTAATCCTAACATCACGAAGTATACCCGATCCTATCGATCTCAGTTAATTGCCGTTCCATCTACCTATCCCGACAAGCACTGTTTAATCGAGCAGAAGATTTATTTATCCTTTAGCAGTTTCTACGAATGGAAATAAAAAAAAAATATCCACTGAAATTTTCCGTTGTTCGATAAACTAATTCTTTTCTTTCTTGAAATAACTTTCAAAGGGGGATCGCAAGGCCACAGTACAAAAGTTTACTGGTGAAGGTTGTTATTCGCGCAGCACAGCACAAACGAACGTTTCAGGGTTGGCATTTGGCAGCAATGCGGAAAAGAACAATAAATCGGACTTTGAAGATCAGACAAAGGGCATGAGACTATCGCTCGTCGTCGAGGCACCATATGGCACGTTTCACACATCTCACACACACACACACACACACACACACACACACACACACACACGCACGCACGCACGCACGCACGCACGCACGCACGCACGCACGCACGCACGCACGCACGCACGCACGCACGCACGCACGCACGCACACACACACACACACACACACACAGAGAGTATAATTCCAGACGAGTAATCTGCTTCGTTCGATCGTATTATCCTTTCGCAGACTATCGACTTTAAGATAACAGATCCTCCTGAACGAGTCAGCAATTGCCATGATAATTTTTCCTGCGTCAACTCCGATCCATTTTTATATTATGTATTCTTATTCGAATTTCGCGTTGAATAGTTACTAGCGCTAAAGTTTAAATAATAATACGTTATATCTAAAAAATAATTGTTAGAATTTTTAATAAAATTACTCAAATATACTTGAATATACTATTTTATGATTAACAAGATTTATACTACTAACAGATCACCTTTAACCCAAATTGAGAGAGACTTTAGTATTACTTAATTTAAAACTCACTTGAAATCCAATGAAAGAAAATTTCGTTTAAAACATTTGTTAAAACATTTGTAGTATAAAGTGCGACAGTTTTCCAACGTTTTACAAAACGTTTAAAAAAGACGAGATAAACTTTTGTTGATCTTGAATTCGTTATGTTTTTTTTTTTTTCATATATTATGTATTTACACACCGCAGTTAAATCATAACGGATATGGATTGTCCTGTCCAGAACATTGTAAATTTTTTAAGTGCACTTTCCAATCTTTTCCTGTATCTGAAAAACAGAAAGCGCTTTATCTCGGAGTACTTTAAAGCTTTAAAGCTTTAAAGCTTTTTGTTTACACCTATACATCTAGTCAGATTACGATGTTCCGCAATGTAAACTATGCAGGTAAACTATACGCACAATGTCTCGCGCTGTTGATCTAGAATTGATTTTATGATCTTTACGTTATCGCGTAATTATAGAATTATGTTCAGCGGTGAGTTTAGCCAGTCGAGCAGTGCCAAGAATCGAACATGCTTGAACGTGATCGGAATGGTAGAGGGATATTAATGATGCAACACGCATTTCCTACAGTTACCGCTACTACGAAAATTTTTCTTTTTTTCTTTTTTCAATTATTTATGGTAAAGTCGCGAGATTTCTGGTAAAATTGATTCCGACCAGCAACGAAAACGTGATGGACGCGCATTTGGAATTGCGACAGCGTTTTTCATCGTGGCATACAAAATTCACTGAGAAAGTTCACCGAGTTAAATTAGACTGGAAATTAGATAAACCCCGCTTTGGGAATTATCGAGAAATGACAAATACAGATGACGTGAAAGCTAACTTGGACTGTGTATTTGATTCGGTAAATAACGGCATCAGATTGCACAAACGAGACTCAAAGCGCGTACATCGTCCGGTCAATCATCAAAGTGCACTTGCTCCAACGACGATCATAAATTACGGAACCATTACGCGTCCATTATCGCTGATCGACTGGTTATCCTTTAGTGACTGCAATATTAAAGAGGACTGTCTTACTCTGAAATATCCTCTTTTCGAAATATCACGGATAGGTCAGACAGGTTCGGTTATTTTTAATGTAACTTCGCTAAATCTATTTTGACATTCATTAAGTTATCCGCGTTATTCTTGAGAAAAAAAAAAAAGAATCGATGGATTAAATTTGCAAGAATTTGCAGGATAAAGATCGCGAATTCTCTTGTTGAAGTTCATAGGTTTAGGTATTACGCAGAATCAAATGTAAGATTCTTCTTTGCGTATTAGAGCACCTTTTCATTTGCTTTCTAATTTAAATATTACCTTTAATTTTAATAAATCCAAAGATCATTATTAACATCAACGAAAAGTTTAAATTTACAAAGTTGGATAGGTAAAGATATCGATAGTACATTGTTTAATGCCGAACGCGCGCTCTCGATTTGAAATACTGTTTACTATTGTACAGAGTTTACTGTTTTCTGTTCCACAGTTGCCGATCGCTTCCAAAAGCTTTTGCAACGTTAAGTATTAAATAAATCTCCATTAAATGTTAAAATAATTCGATATTTTGTTCGTGTGTGAAACGGATTGATGTTTATATAATTCATGATTAAAAATTAATTATAAATTAATAATCGCCTTTCGTGCGGAAAGCGCCGGCCGACTATTACACACGCTTAATGGCCATTCCATTTGAATATTCTATTCTTTCTCTATATGCCGAGAATGCGATTGGGCAAAAATGGCGGCTTAATGAGAAAATGTGCGCCGTGATGTAGCTAGGCAAATCAATCTCGGCCGATTATTCGGCTCCGATAATAAACAACGTATATTACGTTATTTGCGCCTAAATTGTCTCACTCACAAACACCACCTACGATGTGAGTATTAAAAGGTATCGCCTACTAAGACCGTCAACTCAGCACTGTGTGCTAAGGACGGGCCATAAACGCGAAAACACCGTTTACGATCGCATCGATCTTTCTCTAAGCTAAGAGGAATTGGGAACGCTTTTCCCTTTTGTTCTTTTACCAGCGGTATCACAATTCGACGAATAGTTCTCAAAGCGCTCTTTAAGAATTCAAATGCGTCACATGCTCACGCTTCAAATCACGTACCGACAGTTCGTTATTAGACAGACGATATCCTCCTCGATATACCATACATCACGAAACGCGTTTCTGTGCTGTTTAAATAAGGATACCGTCACAACTCGCCTCCAGCGAGCTTAGACTTCGGACGTTATATTCTCCCCTCGCCCCCCTCCCCCTTCTCCCCTCTCGCCGCGCGAGAAGCTGATCTGTATATATTTATTTGGGACAAAGGGAAGGTGGAGGATTAGCGATGAGGCTCCTTTCTCGCGGCTGTACTTGAAGTGTGGATTCTCACCCAGATTATACCGGTACCCACCCCGGCTCTCTCCTTGGTTTTTGAACTTTCCGCGACGAACTTTCGCGTTTCTCTTCCCTCGGGACGACAGTCGTGGAAAAGAGCGGATCCTAATGTACGACGGTACTCCCGCGCGCGCGCGATTATCGGCGGTTCCCTTCCGTTTTTCACTCGGCAGGACGTTTAACGCCGAGCGAGCCGAGCCGAGGCTCGTCGCGTTCGCAATATCGCTCGGGCCGCCGACCGATAGAAGTAGTAGAGCTCGACGTTGCGTCCGACGTCCGTCGTGCAGCACGGCTCGCCGTCTACTGGCGCGCTCGACGCCAGGCGTCGCGACGCGTAGGACGCAACGATAATCGGCGCCGCGTCTCCCCGCGACGAGACGTGACGATTGACAGCGGCGGATGCGTAGAAAGGCGAATCTTTTTACACCTCGCACCTCGACACTTCGCGGAGGTTTACCGCGGTGAAGTGTCCGCCAGGAGCGGTGTCCGCGTGCGTGCGTACCGTCGTCTCGTTAGACAAATGATTCTCGTAAACCCTCGACATCCACGTCACACCGGGAATGATCACATTAGCGAGGTGAGCCTGTTTGTCATGGCAGATGATTAATTGTATATTACTTTTGTCAATCCGCCTCTTCCGCGATTTCCATGTGATTTCATCGAGTCCTCATTATTTATCCATTATTACAATAATCTCTGTCGGAGAAATTCCATCGCGTTTTAATTAATAATCCTTACCTTTATTTCTGCACTATGTTGCTATTATTGAAATATTAAATTTAGTAATTATGTAATTTCTCTATATTTATTTAACACGCGAGGATGTTAGTTCGCGTATACTTAATGTTTGATGAAGGAATATTAATTATTTCCGTTAGAAATCATGTTTTGTTATAAATCCTGTTTGCGTACCACGTGTTAACTAAATTTAGTTACGCATGGATAATACGATCATAAATAATATATTGTTAATTGATGTATTATTGATGCAATATATTACAATAAAAAAAAACTAATTTTCATTGTAAAGATGTTTCAATACGTATGTGCGATTTGAAATTAATATTAATAAATAATTTTATTTCAAGAAGTTTGTATTATTTAAATTAAAAATTTTATTGGTTGCTGACAAATATTATGTAGATACATGTGTATGTAAAATTTAAATCTTTGTAATTTTTGTTATAGAAATTTTTTTTTTAATATTTTGAATGAGTCTTGTGTATTTATTTTAATAATAAAAATTTAATCCAATTATTTCTATCCAAATGTCTCTATTAAGATTTTTTTCTCTTATATATTTTATATATTTTTTTATAAGAGGGAAAATCGTAAGCTCCGTGACAAAAATTGAAAAATAGAGAGAGTTGCTTTATTGACAAGCTCTGAAATTTTTGGTTTCTGAGTTATAAGCACGTGCAAAGTTCGAGGTCACTCATGGCAGATCGCGTGCCGAACAATAATATCACTGTTACACTCGGAGAATATCACGTGTTACCGGCAAATCGGATTTTCGAGGTTTTTCGAACTCTTTTCTGTATCAAAGAGTTATTCTGGATACGTGTATTTATTGATCTATGAAAGTATTAAGCACAGAGTTTGTAATCCTTCCACAAATTAGCTAATGTTAAAAAACTATTATCTTTATAATATGTATTTTTTAAAAATTAAAAATTCTTTAATTTGGAACTGATATTTCTTTCTGTCAAAAATTTGATTGGAGTGTTAATAATGATTGCATTTAATTTTTAGCATACAATACGCCGATAATTTAATGAATTAATTGGTTCAATGTCACAATTAAATTTTGGATTGATTAAATATTTTTGATTATGGATTTTATTAAATAAATTAAATAAAATTTTAATTTATTTAATTTATTTAATAAAACCTATTAATAATGAATTAAAAAAATTCTTTTATGAATTAAAAAAAAATTTTACTTGGTACTCAAGTTATACATATTTTATGAAAATGTTTTTATATTGAATATTAAATATTTAAACTTTGCAATTTTGATAGTCTATGCAATTTTTCCATTAATATTTTTTTTAGCATTACTTTTTTTATAAAATAAAAATGTTCGACTCCTCAAAAGAGTTTTAAAATGTTAGATAATATATTGTGTTTTTTTTATTAATGATGTAAATATGTAATTATTTTTATCACTGCTTATTATAATTAAAAATTGTCAAATAAAATTTAATAAATAAAAAAAATTATATTATTTGATGGTCGAAAAGTTAACGATGTTGTTGTTCAACTTGCAAAAATTGTTTTTTGTTTTTCGTTGCGTGAACACGATAGCATTATTCCAATGGACTATTTTATGCTAGCTATATTGAATACGGAAAATATAAAAGAGGAAATAAAATACTATACATGTGCGATGTGCATGGGCAAAGGTCATCGATAAAAGAAGTCGTGCGTTTATACATTCACTGTAAATAACAAAAGTAAGTGAGGCATAAAGCTCGGACATCGTACCGATAAGGAACAAGAATTTGATTCGTATACGATTTGCATGTATGCATAAAACGCTTAAGAGCTTCTCGTGCTTTTATTCACGATATCTTTGATAATGGATGGAGATTCATGAATATAAATATAGAAACTCAGTATTATGGAAAAATCAAAGGTTACTGGTTTCGGGAATTAGCATAAAAGTCAAAACTCGACATTTCTCCCTAAATCGATGGCAAATGCCTAAATTTGGCACGTCATATACACGCCTGTATAATGCATACGCAACACCGCTCTCAGAATTGTGACGTTGACATGAACGACGATGGACAATGTATTGGTGTTTCGCAAGCATATGTCAAGCTATTAATCGATTATTGAGATACACAAGGCACGATGTCAATTACAAAGCAAGATGCAATTTCAGCTATCAATTAGACGAAAAAAAAATATCTGAAATAAAAATTGCCTTGGTAAAATTGAAAGCTGAATAATATTCCTTTCGGAATTTCTTTATTTTATCAACCAAAACGATTTAAAAGATAATACAATTAAAACTGTTTGATACAATACCTGATTATAATATAAATCGGCATTATATTTTCTCTACATGAAAATTCAATTTTTTCCTGATATATAATTTTAATTTTTCATAATTACTCTTAATTAAGTCTTCACTGTCGCTTTTTGTGGATTCACAGAATTACTCCGCGAAATTCTTCTATTGAATTCAATTTTTCATTTTGTCTTGAATATCGGAATACAGCTTTAAAGTAGATAAGCCAATTTAGTAAAAGTTTCTAACAACTCGTTAGAACAGTCCTTTGAAACTTCAACGCTCCTTTATGGTGAATTATAGCTGCCAGGTCGAGCGCTTATCATTTCCCTTAATATGATTACTCTGCCATTTACATAAAGTTTATTAAAAATATTATGATATAATACGAAAAATGAGCGTAAATATCAAGATGTCAGGTTTGGAATGCCTGGAATCTCTATCCTTGTCAAAGTTCTATTCAAGATGATATTATAGACGAGCATTCGGAAAGTCGGCTATGTTTGACGATCGTTGCAAGTAACTTGCGGAAGGACAAAGGTGATGACTATCGGACGTCAATCTTCGGTCGAGTTTTCACCCCAGTCTAGTTCTAGTTCACTATCTCCCCTCAACTTAGGATTCGTTTCGTAGCTTTCCTTCGAGAGGGACGTTTCATCGTGATCGTCTTTATGTATTGGAAATCTCGAAACTTGCTGAATCGAAAGACGCGAGCAGACGTTTTTGCTCACTGTAGACTATCGAATACTTTGGAATCTTCTTTTCTTTTTCAACTTTTTCATAGTTAGGGCACATTTACATGCTTTAAACTTTTTTTTTTTAAGATTTTTAATACAACTAAATTAAGTAACAATTTAAATTGGTGTATTTTTAATATTGAGCTCAATTTTTGTAAATGTCGGCAAGATTAAAGCAATCCTTAAGTGAAGGATATTAGGATTGCTCTAAATAAAATTATATCTTTCGTATCTCAGGCAAATATTCAATTATTACTGTATCTTTATTTAGCAACGGATAATTATAACTAATACGATTTAGTAAAGCCTTGAGTGAACATTCGAGATTCTTGGAAAGAGCTTAACGAAAGCTAAAAGCTTCCACTTGATGTTTCCTTCGTGTAGTTACTGATTAATGTCGTATATTTGCCTGTTCTGAGATTCCGTGTTTCTTCGTTTCTACTTTCTAGTGCATTAGGAAATTGAAATTGGTATCTGTCGTTGACCCGTATTCTTTGCAACTGCTATTATGATAAGGTCAATCGCTATATTTAGTCTTAATTTCTACGTGCAGTCAATTGAATATCAATGTTTTCTAATCGAAAAATTATCAACTAATTACAGACTGCTTTTGATATTTTTTTATACGAATGCGAAAATTCATATGAAATTTTAGTTACTTATATCAAGTAAATATGTTTTTTCTACATTAAAATAACTATGAATATAAATAATTAAAATTTTGCGGAATTATAATACACGAATGTAAATTATTTAATTTAAATAATTTTTAAATAATATATACTATTTATTACATGTTTTTAAATTTTTAAATATATTTTAAATTTTATATTTTTCATTCGGTGTTTAGTAAAAATAATGTGAATTTTAAAAGAAGTGAAAATAGTATTTTAACTACGAACTGTTTTATCATAAAGTTTTTCGATATCGAATTAATGAAAGAATAACCTGCGTATATATATATATATATATATATATATATATATTAATTTTTTCTTTATTTATTTGATTTCGTTACAGTGGAATTATCTCCGCCTGTATAATCTTGTATTCACCAGTATTTCTCGTTTCAATAATATTGATTATCAATAAATGACAAACGAAATCTAGATGACGAAAGAAATTTTCTTTAAATGATCATTATTCGTTCTTTCATTCTGTAACTATCTATGTCGTCTCAGTAATCATAAACTATTATTTAATATGTTAAATACGTATTATCAACAACATTATTATAATTTCTTTATTTTATTAATAGAATTTGATAAATATTACAATTTACATTATTTACATTATATGAAGAAATATTAATAAAAATATTTTTCTTACAAAATGTGATAAATAATGTTTCTGATAATGCTTTAATTCTTCTTGAAAGTCAGTTGATGGATGTAAATGGTCTTAAAATATAATATGATATGTATTTCTCACGGTGAAAATG